CACAATGCGGATCGAGGATTATGTCGAGGGAGTCCATGCATATTTCCGCCTAGAGGCAGATGGGAAGGTAGAGAGAGTTCTTCATTCCCTGACTCCCGTCGTTGAAGATGATCTCCCGTTTGATATGGTGTTAGGAATGGATTGGGGAGACGCAGCAAGAGCCACACTGCACTTGCAAGAGTACGAGTGTAGGCTTCCTAGTCCTTCAAGTGGCGTCAAGAAGACCCGCATGTTCCATGTGTCAGTAGTAGATAACTCCCTAACACATCGCTTTCTCAGTGCTCCTGCGTTCGCACGATTAGTTAAGGAGCAGCTAGAAGATCGGGTCTTTGTAGCCTATGTTAGGCTAGTTACTGAGGAAGCAACCAACACCATTATTGCCAAGTTGCTGGAAGAGCACGCAGACTTGTCAGAGGCTCCTTCACGAGTTGTATCATGTCGCATGTAGCATCGCATTGAGATAGAGCCTGGTAGTAGAACTCCCAAAGGAGCAGTCTATAGAATATCTCCTAAAGAGTTAGAGGAGTTGTGCAAGCAGTTAGACGAGCTCCTCGAGAAGGGTTGGATTAGGCCCAGTTCGCCTCCATTTGGAGCACCTGTTCTATTTGTCCCCAAGAAAGAGGGAGAGTTAAGAATGTGCATTGACTACAGGGGTCTGAACATTGTTACAGTCAAGAATGCAAAACCATTGCCTCGACTAAATGATCTGCTGGATCGGGTGCAGGGCTACAAGTACTTTACAAAGATAGACTTGAAGTTAGCGTACCATCAAATTGAAGTTCACACTGATGACCAATATAAAACTGCGTTCAGGACTAAATATGGGCATTACGAGTTCATAGTGATGCCTTTTGGACTAACTAATGCACCGGCCACTTTCCAACACTGTATGAACGATCTGTTTAGGTCGTGGTTAGACAGGTCTGTAGTAGTTTATTTAGATGATATCTTAATCTTTAGTAAGACCCTCCAGGAGCATGAGGCTCATCTGAGGCAAATCTTGGAGAAGTTGCAGGAGGCAAACTTTAAGATCAATGCGAAGAAGTGTGAGTGGGCCAAGACCGAAATCCTCTACCTGGGCCATGTCTTAGATGGAGATGGCATAAAACCTTAGGACAACAAGATCGCAGCGACTAGGGACTGACCAACTCCTCGTACGCTGACAGAATTGCGATCGTTCCTAGGATTGGCCAACTACTATAGAAAGTTTGTTAGATGCTTTTCTGCTATCACTGCTCCCCTTCGCAGACTGCTAAAGAAAAAAAATATCTGGAAATGAGACCAAGACTGCACCTCATCCTTGAAGAAGTTAAAGCGGGCCTTGGTAGAGTATCTAGTCCTCAAGGTAGTTGATCCATCCTTACCGTTTGTCGTCACTACAGACGTGATTCAGTATGGCATTGGTGTTGTGCTGCAGCAAGATGATGGCAATGGGTACAGACCCGTAGAGTTCATGTCTGCTAGGTTACCTTCAAAAAATGTAGCAGCTTCAACTTACGAGAGAGAACTCTACTCTCTCAGGCAAGCATTAGATCACTAGAGACACTACTTGCTTGGGAGGCACTCCAAAGTTTATTCAGACCACGAGACACTAAGGGGGCTGAAAACGCAACCCAAGATGACACCTAAGCTTACTATGTGGGCTGCAGAGATAGATCAGTTTGACTTCGAGCTCAAACTCGTTAAAGGAAAGTACAATATGGTAGCAGATGCCCTAAGTAGGAGAGTTGACTACTTTGGAGCTATAGTTCACTATTTAGACATAGGGACTGACCTACAACAAAGGGTTAAAGATGCGTACGCTCAAGACCCTATCTACAGTGACCTTCTAAAGAGAGTTAGTGAGGCTTCAGATAGTGAACCCAACTATCGCACCACGAACGGGTTTTTGTTTGAGAAGACAAATGCCGTAGATAGGCTATGCATCCTCAATAGTGAAGAGATCCAGAGTCTGATCTTAGGGGAATGTCACGATACAGAAGGGCACTTCGGCTGGCAAAAGACGTTAGCCAACCTAACACGTGCCTACACATAGCATGGCATGAAAACTAATTGCATAGAGTATGTCCGTCTTTGCAAAGTATGCCAGCGCAACAAAACTACGATGCGAGCCCCACTAGGTCTTCTCAGACCCTTGCCTATCCCCTTAGGACCCGGAGAGTCCGTGTCCACCAATTTTATGGATATTGGGGTCAAAAGTAGGCATGACAAGAGCCAAGACATTGTTATAGTAGACCACTTCAGCAAATATGCAGTTTTTGTCCCCTTGCCTTGAGAGGCACGCACAAAGTTATTACCAGTCAACACTGGCAGGAACTTATGCGAGTCTATGGCTTGAAGTTGTTGATGTCATCTGGCCGTCATCCAGAGACTAACGGCCAGACCGAACAAATGAATAAGATCCTGCAACAGATACTCAGGATGTATATTAGACCAGATCAGATTAACTGGGATGAGGTGCTTCCTAAAGTAGCTAGCACCTACAATAACAATGTTCATCTAGCTACTTGTCGGACTCCTAACGAACTTCATAAGTCCTTTAGACCTCGCAGGCCATTTGAAGGACTGAACTATGACTAAATACAGAGACTGAAGAGACTGCCACCTGGAACTAGGGAGTTTGCATTACAGCATGAAAAGGAAATTACGAGAGTGACCGACAATCTCAGAAAGGCTCAACATAAAATGATAGAGCAAGCTAACAAGCATCGTCGGCCATCACAGTTCCAGGTAGGTGATTTAGTCTGGGTCAAATCAAAGGAGTTCGCCCCAGAAGAGAACATCTCACAAAAGCTGCTACCCGCATATAGGGGACCGTGGCCTGTCCTAGAAGTGAAAGGTGGAGAGGACGGACCTTTCTACACAGTAGAAATTCCGCCACACCTCCGCACATAACCAGTCTTCCATGCGTCTAAGTTGCTACCTTGTGTCCAGTCAGCAGTTTCCATCGCATTGATCGATGATTCCACTGGATATGGATGGCACATATGATATAGACCGCATGGTGGAAGAGGATGTGTTTAGAACCAAAGATAGGGGTCGTCCGCAGAAACGGTATAAGGTTAGGTTCACTTACCAGGAACCTGAGGACAACCGATGGTTCACAAGAACCGAACTTTTAGAGACCGCTCCCAACATATTCCATGCCTACGATAGGGCAAGAAAGGGTAAAGGTCCTGCGTCGCACTGAAATATTATCGGAGGACCTCGAATTTAGGCCGGCGGGAGTGAAACGGTTTTCACCTACAGCGGCGAAAGATGCAGAATCCAGGGCTCGATCCCTGGACATACTCCCCCTTACCCGTGTACAGTACCCGTTGACCTGTGTGTTTGAACCCGCGACCTGTTTCCTGAAAGTCGTATAGTCGGCTGTTGCATATAGTGTGGTCGCAGGGGTTTGACTCGTAGACTTTAGTTTTCGTTGTCGTAGGGTCAGCGTAGGTCGTAGTGGCTGTAGTTTTGAAAGGTCAAGTCTAGAGTCTTCTAGACTAGTCTGACTGGCTCTCCGTAGGTCCTAGGAGCAGTCCGCGGTTGAGTCAGCGAGGGGCAGTCTCAGTCCTACCTAGTCCAGTCAGCATTACCCAGTCTCAGGGTGCACTTTATCTAGTCAGCAAGTACCATGTGGGACTTTGTACACCCCGGGCCAGGGTCCAAGGGCAGACCAACGACGATCCGAAGTATAAATATTAAATAAAGAGGCAGCGTCAAGTCATTCATTCATTTTGCCTGTGAGCCGTGCGGAAGTGCTGTCGGAGCGTCTTGTGCTACGGAGGTCTGCAGGTGCCCGAGGAAGAAGAGGGCTAAGAGGAGGAAGACGCGGCCATAGCCGCAAGCTAGCATAGGAGGGAGACGGCAGCCATAGCTGCCACGTAGGATAGCGTAGGGAGTGTGCGTGTGTGTGCAGAGTGTGTGAGTGTGTGGGACATTCAGGGTGATCCTAGTGTGTGTATGTGTGTGCGAATAAGTTGCTGGTGGATACAGTTGATCGGGTGGGAATCATTGTCTGGCGCTGCGCTCAATAGCCAATCAAGACAAGTTTTAATCTGAGCTGTGTTCCTGGCCACGTCTTGTCTCTGAGCTTTGTGTGGGCGCTATGCRCCAAGTCTTGTTCGTCATCTGTTTGCACACATGCTGAAGAGTGTTGAAGTCGAGTCCGATTGCACTGAGGAGAAAGTTCCAAAAAAAATTAAAGTTGAAAAAAAAAAATGCCAGTGTATTGCTGCACATTCCGGGTTAGATTTTGCCCACCTGAAACTTGCCTCTTCGTCCGCTGGACCAAATGACTGTCTTAACCCCCAAACGTTCCAACTTATACAGGGACGCCCTCACTGAGACCCAGACTGACACATGCGAATAATCAGGTCAGTACTGGACTTCCCAAGGTTCAAAAACTCGATTCCAATGTGGTTGGTCCAGCCGAGCATACATGAACTTGCAGATATGGACACACGCAGGCTCTCAAAACTCAGAGAGGCAGAGTTCGCCGACCAGACTCAGAATATGCAGGCAATCACAGCAAAGAAAAACTCAAATTTGTCCTTTGAGGTCGATGGTGAGGAAACAACAATACAGAGAAGATTATCATGGCCCCTGCCCAAGGATGACACACGTTAATGGAGAAATGGTCCCAAAAAAAAGAAAAAAAGGACCTCGAATTTTTCAGGCTGAAATCCTGCGGGTCATTACAAAATGCAGAAAGCAGTGTGGGAGTCAAGTCTGTTGCACCCACCAGCTGGATATCCCAACCATGCCTTTTTTTAGCTAAAAAACAAAAGAGAACTCTCCTGGCATGAATGCAACCCTGGTTTCCACAATTTGCAAGAACTTATCTTTCGCAGTCACTATTTCACCTTGATTGAAACATGCTTGCTCCTGATAAGCAACCCGACTGAATGGATGTGGAAAAGAGTGGGTTGTGTGGCAAAAAACAAAAAAAAGAATACGGGTGTCTCATGCTGTGAACCTTTCCCAGGCGGACCATGTCCCTGCGTTCTTGAGGGTTTCCCATGTGGCATTCATTAGCTTGTGCATGTGTTTCTGATGACATGGCTTTCTTTGCTCTTTGTGTGTATGTCTGTCTGCCTGCCCCCATACGTGTGTGTTTGCTTGAGGGTCTGTCTATGTGTGTGTTGGCACATGCGCATGTGTATTCATGTGTGTGTGCTTTTGCACTGTGGCCGTTTTGCTAATGCAGACAATTGCCCCTCAGCTCCAACACCTCTTTGCGGGTATGTGCCAGAGGAGTGTCCACCAACTCCATTGCCTCCAACGGCGGTGCCTTCGCCACCAAGTCCTCAGACATCTGCACCAGCACCCTTCCCTTCTCCTCCTGCAGCTCCGAACTCTTTTCCTCCTCATTTCCATTTGCAGCCGCCACATCCATCAACTCCTCCACAAGCTTCCCCCGTACTTGTGACACCACTGTCATCACCTCTACTCTCTTCATCCCCTCCTCCATCCCCTTCTCCACCCGTTCCTCCTCCTCCTCCTCCTCCTCCTCCTCCTCCTCCTCCTCTTCCTTCATCTCCTCCACCTTCAGCAACACCACAGGCAAAGTCTCCGCCACCCCCGCCCCCTCAGCAATCTCCATCCCCACAAATCCTCCCTCCAGTTTCACCCCCTCCAACCTCTGGCCCTCTTCCACCTTCCCTGTCTCTTCCACCTTTCTCTCCACTTCCTTCCCAGCCTTTCTCATCCCCCATTTTTAGAGCGACAGCACCTCCATCTCCTCCTCCACCTTCTCCTCCACCTCCATCTCCTTCACCTCCTCCATCACCTCCTCCATCACCTCCCCCTGCCCCTTTCCACCCTACCTT